CAGTTAATCAGTCAATCAATCAATCAATCAACGGGGGGGGGGGGGCGACCCCGCCCCCACCAATCAATCAATCAATCGATCAATCAATCAATCAATCAGTCAATCAATCAATCAATCAATCAATCAATAAAAAATTCAACCAGAAAAAAGAAAAGAAAAAAACGCGTTTTTTTTTTTTTTTTTGCAATTTACTTCTCTCACGGCCAACCCCCGCTCACCCAAAAAATTGTTTGTTTTTTTTTTGAGAAAACTAGGGCGCTGTCAGGGTTAGAGTTTGAAAATACGTTTCGAACTGCCGTTTTGGAGTCCAGTCCCCTCTCAAGTTTACACTGCAGTCCAAACTTCTAGGTCGCGTGCCTGTCGCAGGGCAGAGTTTCTAACTGCTGTCTAGTCATCCACGTCGGAGGGCCAGGCGGTTTTCCAAAAAAAAAAAAAAGAAACGAGAAGAAAAAAAGAAAAGCTTATGGCGCCGTATCTTTCCATGATCTAGCGGAAGATTCACCCTCGGTTTCCACGATCGAAATGTGCAAAACGAGAGTGAATCTTGGCTATAACATTCACTCGGCTAGAACATGGAAAGATACAGGGCCATGATTTCATTTTCTTTGTGGAACGGGGATACAGGGGCCCAACGAGATACACGGGCCAGGCCGTTTTCCAAAAAGAAAAAGAAGAAACAAGAAGAAAAAAAGAAAAGCTCGTGGCGCTGTATCTTTCCATGTTCTAGCAGAAGATTCACTCTCAGTTCCCACGATCGAAATGTGCAAAACCAGAGTGAATCTTGGCTAGAACATGGAAAGATACAGCGCCACGAGCTTTTCTTTTTTTTGGGCAAAGGGGATACAGGGGCCCAACGAGATACACGGACCAGGCCGTTTTCCTAAAAAAAAAAGAAGAAACAAGAAGAAAAAACGAAAAGCTCGTGGCGCTGTATCTTTCCGTGGCGCTGTATCTTTCCATGCCCAACGAGTTTTGGGATTTTTTGGGTAGTGTCATCAGTAATGTTGATCAACGATTGGGTATCCGCTGCGCAGCCGTACACAAGAATCAACGATCAATTCGTAAGGGCAATTTGTTCCAGAACCTGCAAGACGCCTGCTCTTACACCAGCCGTCGACAAAAATTAGTTGTGGTCGTATCCTTTTTCCATCGAGCGAAGAGACTTACGGATTCTTCCGTTGTTGTGGTAGGTTTTCTTTTTGCTCTGAAGGTTGAATTGCGGCTTCATGGTTTCAAGGATGAGTTTTTTTATGGTGCACTGCGGAATTTTTCTTCTAAGTTTGGCGGATGTTGGGATGAGTGGTTGGGTTTTCTCACGGGATGGGATCGGGCGCGACAATATTGGGGGGTTTCCACGATCTGTTCAGCACGACAATTTCGGATGAGTTAGGCCGCTTTTTGCTGACCTCCTGGTTCACTGTATTGGATCGACTTTGGAGCCCTCTTATTAGGATTCAAACTTATTTTCTGGGACGGCTCATTTGAATTGGACAACGCGTCACGTTTTCTTCGCGAACGGTGTATTTTCTCCAACTTTTGACAGGTTCGGTATCTGGACTGCTTAAGTAGTTTCATTCATTGATATTTAGTAGACCTTCCGGTACTTCCGGTAGCTAGCACTCGAGTACTTATACCTGTCAACCTGTAGTAGTTGCTATCTCCTCCGTTCGCTGAAGACCCCTGATAAGTCCGGTTCTGGCGACCGGATGAAACGTAGTGTCGTCCGCCAGCTGCTCGCATGAATTGTGACGATACTAGGCGCGATACCTATTTCCGGTTCGAGCTTTTGATAAGCCGATTGTGCTTCATGTTCATTTTTTAAAGCTTATCTCGCCGCGTTCGGGATTTTGGTGATAGGTCTATTCTTCGCTCTGCATGATGTGATTGCTGTTGTTTGCAACTGGTTGGATGCATGTGAATATCACCAACATCCTTTCGACAGTGTAACCACCGTAGGAATTGCACTACACGTGTGTGACTTGTTGACAATAGCGTACCTTAGCTTACTATACTAGCTTACCGTACTTAGCTTACTATACTAGCTTACCGTACTTAGCTTACTATACTAGCTTACCGTACTAACTTTCATCATCATTATTTTATTTTGGCTTGCTTTTTTTATTGTTCTCTTCCCTCATGGCTTTGCAGTTTCCACCTAGGACTTGTTTCACATGCGGATCTCCTCACCACTTTTTTCGTGAGTGTCCGCAGGGTGGCAACGGGAACCGACCTCCGGCGACACAAGCTAATGCTGTACCGACTGGGCCACTTCTTACGCTCCCAGCTCCGCAAAACTCAGCTCCGAGTGCTGGTGTTCACGTCCCAGGTACTGGAGGATATCAGTATGGCGGACAACCGCGTAATAGCTTCTGGAAGACTAACCAAGAGAAGCTCGATAGGGTATTTGGTAAGCTGCTTGCGGACGAAGAGAAGGAAAATAAGCAGAAGGAAGAAGAAGAGCGAATTAAGCGAGAGAAGGAGGAAGAGGAACGACGTACTCAATGGAAGAAGGAACGCGAAAAGTTTGAAGAAGATATGGACGCAAGATTGGAACAACGCATGGATAAGGTGATCGGAAGAACCAAGGAAGGAGACGCGTCAGTAGATGAGGTTGCTCGATTGAAGAGGGAGAACGAAGATTTGCGCCGGGCTCTGCTAAGTGGTAGTGAGGGCACTCAGGTTGAGAAACTCAAGAAGGAGATATCTGATCTCAGATTGTTGATCGCTACTAAACACAGCAAGGAGGACGAGATGACGACGACCATCCGGCACGAGATCGAGCAGCTCCGATCGTCGTCTAATTCGAGAGGAGACGTGGAACGTGAGCTTGCTGATCTTAAGAGCGAACTCGTTGTGCTAAGAGGGAAGAATGAGCGAGCGCTTAATGAAGTTAACCTTTGGAAGAATGAGGCCATGCAGCCTGGGAATAAGCGTGGCAGCGTGGCTTTGAACACTCCGGATGTTGCGAATCGGGGTATGCCCAAGGCTCTTTGGACGGACCTGGGACAGGACGGCGCCGATAAATGGAAGAGTGAGTATCGCAAGTTATAAGAACTTCGGCGCGCTGATTTTGCAGAAGTAGAGGCTCTGAAGAAGAAGCATGCGTTGGCGGCGTTTGAGGTTTTGAGCTTGCAGAAGAAGATGAGTGAGTTGTCTGCTGAAGATCGTGGCGCAGACAAAACTGGAGGAGGCACTAATCTGAAAGACAAGATGGAAGCAGCACCACTTCGTTCGGCCTGGAAAGGGAAGAAGGTCACGCCGAATCGTGATGCTGTTAAGAAGACTACGGATCGAGCCTCCTTTATTGAAGAACAGAAGAAACAGCTTAGGCTAATTCGTAATCTGGCCTTGAAGCGTTGTGCAAGGATATTGGACCTGACACGGGCAAGGTGGATCCGATGATCGATGCTATCGCTGAGCATTGTGCCATGCAGGTGTTTGGAAGTTTCGCGCGACGAAATATTGATACGGTAGACCTTGAATCGGAATCAACCCAGGAGATCGATACCTCTAAAGAGGTCGGTGATGCTTCAGTGGAGCTCTAGGATGTTCCCCGGACGCGGCCTACCTGTGGAATCTGGCTAAATTTTGTAGAGACCGACGATTGTCTACTAAGATTTTGATTTCTGATTCACGTACGGATATCTCTGTTTCCTCTTTTGTTTTTGAGTCCTCAGACGATTCTTTGGCTAATTCTTTTCCTGATCCTTTTGGGGTTCGTCCTTTTGACTTCGTGCGTGATAAGGAGTTTAACGGTTTTTATCGATCGGTCGTTCTGCGCTTGATTCTTGATGGATTAATTCCTTGGGGATTGAAGTTTCGTAGTTATTTGAGATCTGTTGCCTGCAAGGATGATCTTGAAGAGTATCGCGGACCATTAGTTTATGTGTTGATATCACCGTGGAATAAGCACGTGTATGTAGGGTCGACTTCTCGATCCCTCGCTGTTCGCTGGGTAGAGCATGTTTATCGGGCAGTCAATGAGAAGGTGGTTGATGGTGGCTGTAGAAATCATAAATTGTATTCTTGGCTTCGCCGATATGGAGTGGGACAGTACATGGCCTTGCCTTTTTTTTATTGCAACTAGGAAGATCTGTTGGAGTTAGAACGAAATATTATTCGACTTGCTAGTCCCCATTTAAATTTCAGGGATGGGATTGCTAAAGGGAGGAAAAAGCAGTTAGGTAAGCGTGAAAGGAGGAGGAAATGTGGTTCTGTCGCTCTGTGCAAGGTAGATAAAGGGATTGATGTTCATCTGGTGTTCCATTCCACAACAGGTATTGTTTCATCGTCAATCTCTTAGATTTTCGAGTATTGCAAGGAGAGACGTATTTCGGCGGTTGGTATTTACTGTTCAGGAGGAAACAGATGGGCTGAAAACTGGAAGGTTGTCAAACGTAAGTACGGATCGTCGGTTGTTGATTTTGACAGCGGGATTGATCTGTTACGTAAATGTAAAGGGCTGTTCCGACCAGGTTGTTATGTATTCATTTCTTCTATTGTTTTCTTTGGGGCTCGCTATCTTTCCTTGAAACCGCTGTTAAGTAATCTGCTTGCCAATCCTCCTTCTCGGAAAGAGTTATCATCCTGGGATCTCTCTCTTCTCGTGGCGTCCTTCTCTGCTATCAGATGTTTCTCTAAGAAACGGACTCGTAGTTCTCTACGTCTCATCTTGTCGAATGCGATTTCAAGGAACTTTGGTCTCAATGTGAGGAAACGATTGGTTGTGCGGGTGACCTATGACAAGAGGCTTAGCAAGCCCGGAATCAGGGAGTTTTGTAAATCCTTAATTTGGAGATCTGAGATTACTCTAGGATGGAAGGAGATGTTGGTAAGATGGATGAGGGTGGTCTGGCTAAAAAATAGAAGTGTTGGTGATTTGTTGTTCGATTTTAGAGCAGCCGCGCAAGGAGAGGGAATTTCATGTTGTTGTTCTTCATCTGATTTGGCCTTTCCCAGGGTGAATGGGCACATATGTTTTAGGTTGAATGATCTGTGTTGTGCCCCGGCTTGGATAAAGAATAATAAGAACGTACCCCAACCATCTAGGAAATATATTTTTCGGTTGTTGACCAAGCAGCTGCTAGATTCGATTAATGCATTAAACCTTCCTGTCCCTTCTTTCTCGAGAAATGATTTGAGGAATTGCGTTCTGGATGATGGAGATGTGCTTCTCAACCCTTGCTGCGTGGAAAATGTGTTACTTTGGAAAGATCGTCTGCATGGTCTGGTAAAAGTTCCCATTGACCACAACCCTGGTGATACCTTGGTCTGTTGTCCGCTGATATATCAGCAAGGAATGGACAAATCGTTTATTCGTAATACAGGGTTTTGTGCTGTCGAAATGATGGAGGAAGAACTGATGGCGACAATGGAGTCCGATTATAAGAAGCTGAATCTGGTGAAGCTAGCCGAATGGGAAAGAAATGGGAGGTTGGGTTCTGCCTATGCTATACCGAAGCATAAGGATATCAGTAAGTGGAGACCAATCTGCCCCACTGTTTCTCATCCCAATGTCAAAGCATGCCGGAAGATTTCAAAGGTCGTCAATGAGATGGTTTGGGAGCTTCCGAAACGATCGAACTTCAACCTTCGTAGCACCGATCTTCTGTCGGCTAGTTTGAAGATGGTTAATAAAGATTTGGAGAAAGGCCATCGATGGATCACAGCCTCGTATGATATCAAGGAGATGTTTTGCAATCTCCCACACTCTTCTATTCTCACGGCTCTTGATTGGGTGATCGACTTCTGAAGTTTTTTAGGAATAAAAGGAGTGACTGTGAATAAGCAAGGTAAATGTGTTAAGCTGTGGCGAGGAAGAATTCCTGAAGGATGGGAGGGATTGCAATTCCACATGGTTAGAGAATTCGTCCTCTTTGATTTAAAGAATACTTACCTCTCCGTCTCCGGAAAGATTCTGCAGCAAACAGTTAGAATTCCGATGGGCAAATCTTCTAGTCCCGCAATCGTCTGCCTTCTCTGCTCCTTCTCCGAGTTCACCTTTCTAACGAGTTTAAAAGTAGATCGCAAACTGGTACATGGTATTCGGCTTATTGATGATGTGTCGATTTTTATCAAGTACCGTGAAGGTGATGCTGTCTCGATTCGTAAAGGATATGAGCTGATAACTGAGTTTGAGAGATGTTATGACCAGAACTTGAAATTGGAATGCACGAGTAGGGCTGAGTTTTGGGATTTTTTGGGTTGTGTCATCAGTAATGTTGATCAACGATTGGGTATCCGCTGCGCAGCTGTACACAAGAATCAACGATCGATTCGTAAGGGCATTTTGTTCGAGAACCTGCAAGACGTCTGCTCTTACACCAGCCGTCGACAAAAATTAGTTATGGTCGTATCCTTTTTCCATCGAGTGAAGAGACTTACGGATTCTCCCGTTGCTGTGGTAGGTTTTCTTTTTGCTCTGAAGGTTGAATTGCGGCTTCGTGGTTTCGAGGATGAGTTTTTTGACGGTGCACTTTTCTTCTAAGTTCGGCGGATGTTGGGATGAGTGGTTGGGTTTTCTCACGGGATGGGATCGGGCGCGTCAATATTGGGGGGCCTCCGCGATCTGTTCATGACGACAATTTCGGATGAGTTAGGCCGCTTTCTGCTGACCTCGTGGTTCACTGTATTGGACCGACTTTGGAGCCCTCTTATTAGGATTCAGACTTATTTTCTGGGACGGCTCATTTGAATTGGACAACGCGTCACGTTTTCTTCGCGAACGGTGTATTTTCACCAACTTTTGACAGGTTCGGTATCTGGACTGCTTAAGTAGT